ACTCTATGCACTTCACTCTGTGACAATATGACTCTATGCACTAGATTCTCTGTACTCAAACTGTGCACTTGACTCTATGACTTTTTGTACTTCACTCTCTGACTTTTACATAGCGCTAAACTCTTCGCAAATGATGCTTTCGGGCCACATGTCTTCTAGTTTCCCGTTTGTTGCATAGGCACCACAACTTTGTTGTTTGTATAACTACAAATACATGTAGACGTAGCTGTGCTTAACTTTCGGTTTTGTTTGTCTCAGTTGATCTGCTCTAGTGATCTGCCCTTGTCATTGGGCGGTGTTGAACTCATCCGAAACCTACTCGTCATTACGCGATGGTTGTGATCCAACATCGTAAAGCCGACCCCCAGCTAGGCGACTGCAGTTGATCCCAGAGTTTCATCTCGCTAAGCGGGCGGGTGCGGCTGGCCCCATGCAGACCTCGCATTGAGTTTGCATGGATGACTGTCATCGCGCAATGGGGGGTTCGGGTTTAAGATATGAGGTCATCCCCCATCGACGAAGGGGTGAGTTTAAGATATGAGATCAGAAGTTCTCCAACCTTCCCCCATACCTGTGGCTGTGAAGTGCCATTTGAGATGTGTTTTGGCAAAGTCGACATCCAGAAAAAATCAGTGTCACGCAATTTCCGGCTACAAACCCCTTGATCCTTGTCACCGTTGTCGTGTTTTGAAGACTGTTGGTGCCGTTGGATCCTTCTCAATCCACGTAGTCTTGCAGTTGGACAATGGGATTTGCCGAACTACTACTTAGACTTTGAGCACAACAAAAGCTGCAAGGGAACTTTCGTGATGGTTTTCAATGTTCGTTGGTATTTTATTGTTGGCTTCGATATTGTAAATTGACACAGCATTGTGGAAGGCAGCATTGTGGAAGGCAGGGTTCAGTGAATTGTGAAAAAGCTTCCGGAGTTGATGAGTTCACATGGATGGGTATGTTCGCTCTCGATCCCGCTGCGAGCTGCTGTCTCAGCATACCGTGTCTGGCAAAACGCGATGCGACGTGGCATCTGGATCACGCTGCATGGCTCAGGCGTCGAGCGTTCTGGTGTTGTCAAATTTTCACTTCGCAACAGGCCGGCATGCGAAATGCTGTTTGGGTCTGGGCTCGCAGTTTCCAGACGCATGCTCCGCTTCTGTTCTGCAAGGTGCCGTGTCAGATTTGTGGCCAAACCCGCTGTATGGCTTCACGAACAACAACAGGCATGATGTCAAACGTACCTGTCGAAATATCCAATCCGTGCAGTGCTGTGTGGTGTGTCGGACAGCACAGGACGTGTTGCGATGCCATTGCCCCAGACCACATTCATCGCAATTCCAATGCAGGCTGGGCAGCACTCCAAAACGGGATGCCGTCGACAGCGACTTCAGGCGAGGCTTCATTCTTGGTTTCCGAATAACTGGCCTTTGAATCAATAGGCCGGCTTTGGCCAGCATCGAAACAGACAGGCACTACTACCATTTGGCGGCATTGGAATTGCTGCTAGTTCATCATGGATTCAGGCCAGCATCATTTCGAATCAAGCGGACACGGCGAGTGTGTTCATGCATGTTACTTGACGCGGAAGGCCATGTGAAACTACTTTATCGTCGCAGCAAGACATGCGCCAGCTGGAGAAGACAATCTCGGCGGTTGAAGCCCGTGCCTGAAAGGACCATGGCGAAGGAAGCTGTTGAGTTTGCACTGTGTTGGGGTGGGCCCGAGGCTTTTCAGAGAAACCGCAGCTTGCCGTCGAACCCCTTCGGCCTGAATGGCCCCTTCTGGGAAGAGTTGGTGGTTCCAGTGAAGCCAGGCCTTGCTGCTTCGCCTGCCTTTGCCTGCCTTTCCTGCCGCAAAGCCAACGGTACAGCCAGTGTCCCGCAAGGTGACGAAAGTGCCGCGGTGCTTGCTCTGCACTGGCTGGTTCAATCTACCTCTCAGGCAGGGAGGGTGGTGGCAGCCTTTGGTCAGTTTCCTGGCGTGGGAATGCAGGTCTCCAGGCCACCACTGTGGGACACAATAGAGGCGGCGACAGTTCAGAGCGGTTCGAGCCCGAGTTTCCTGGGTACGTATGAGCAGGTGGAACGACATCGGTGTCAAGCCCAGCTGGATTCCTCGATGCAGGTGCCAGTGTTGTCTGCATGGTTTGATTGACTGATCGGTTGGCTCGTTGGTTGGTTGGTTGGTTGGTTGGTTGACGATAGACTCGCGGATAGGTGATTTAATCAATGAGTGAATGCGTGAGTGAGCCAGTGAGGCCGCGATGTGAATATCATAGCCCTGCCAAAGCCGCTGCAGATTCGGGGCTTGTGAACTGTGTCATAGTCATAGTTTTTATTGGTGGTCTGGAACCGTTTGGATTAATTAGCCGTGCAGGACTGTAAAGCATGCTAGGGACGTCACTGCAGGCAAAAATTCAAGGAAGTCTTGCTTCTGATGCGGAGCTCATGGCTGAGTTGAACGCCATGGCCTCAGTCGGATGTATGGTTTTGTCAGTGCCGGTTCCCAGCTTTTCTCCGAGCGGCCAGGCTTCATGGTCAGAAGGACTCCCCTCCTCGATGTGGCACCATCTCCTGCAACGTGCAGAGCAACGGGTCGGACGAGTGCAAAGGGACGAAAGGGGCGGGTGTTTGACGCGCACGGTGTTTGCAGGTAGCTTCCGGGTGCCTGGGCCGTGCCTTCGTGGCCAGGGCCTTCGGCGTGGCATGGGCCCAATCCCCGGAATCAGGCCGTGCGGGAAGTCTTGCAGGCATGTAGGGGTGTGCATCTGGCAGCAGAGAGCTCCGAGGTCTTTGTTTGGTGCTTGAGTGCTGGCTTCTTCGTGTTTTTCCACATCGATGGTTGGGGCCTTTGTGCTGCCCTTTTTCCAAAACACAGGGTCCAAGTGTGCTCCAGGTTGGAATCATGGAAGCTCCGAGAAAGCATGCAATTTGGCTGCATTGGTTCGAGTTCCCGCATGCCGTAGTCCAGCCAAAAGCATATCTGTCAACGCTTCAAAGCCGTAGGCAGCGGTATATACATGTCCACCTTAGTGTCGCAGCACTTACCAGACAGCATGAGTGCATACAGATTTTGTGCAACTAGGTGTGATCCGAAAACACAGCCTTTGAAGTCTTGAAGAAAGCTTGGGTCTGCCACATATCTTGGACGAGGCATGGAACCGAAGACGTTCCGCAAAGCCAGGGCGACGGCATTCCTTGGACATTGTCCGATCGGGTCTGGCGGGGTGGGATTCTATCGGCGCACACAACCAGTCAGGTTCTCAGATTTGGCCACGAAGTGGCCTTGCTTGGTGTGGTGACGTTGAGCCCGTGGCCAAGTTTGCAATGGAAGACGGCACAGAGCTACAGTGCTTCCGGATGGGGAGCTAGAACACTTCCTTTTCAGGTCACAGCTTGTCTGTGCTCGGACTTTGGCCGGATCCCCGGTCGTTCATGCGCTGGCGTCTGGTGGATTATCTGCTCCTCGTCACACGGAGGTCTTTCCCATCTGACCTGGTTTCCCAAGTATTCGTAGGTCCAAACCTCAAAAGCTTTCGGGTGAAGATCGAAGAACACTTGTGCGATTGGAAGAGGCTTTCAGATCACGGCGGCTTCAGTTGTTGCCGTGCGTCTTGCCGCAAAGCGGGAAAGGTGCGGTGGACCTGCATCGGCTTTGTTTGGAGAAGACTCACTGAGCATCGTCTGAGAGGCGCCTGCCGCCTGAGAAGAATTGCATCAAGTACTCGGCGAATGTCTTGCTGATGGTCCGATTTCTACGCAGATTCCAGCAGAACACAGAAGCGGGTTCGGCAAGTGTGCCAGCAAGGTCCTTGCCTTTCTGTTCTACTGCCTGGTGAGCTTGGCCCGAGACAGAGTGAATTACTGTCAGACGTGATACGCCGCATTTGGTCTGCTGTAGTCCCATCCTTCCAAGACTCAGGTTCCAGGGCTGAATGGGCTCTGGTGGCTCGACCGAGATTGGCTTTTCTGTTGACTTCCGCCGGAAGTCGATGTCGCCGACCCTGCATATCTCAGGTACGCGGTATTCCTAGCCGGGCTGTTGGCTGCTTGGTCCATCGCCGTGCTGGTCATCGTGGTAGGGGCCCCGAATCAATCTAATTGGTAAATGCTGGTACCCAGCACCGACAAGTGACAGCAGAGGACTGGAACCGCGTCATGAAGTGTGCCCTGTTCTTTGTCTCTTCCTCAAGACAGAATCGTGCCAAACGACTGCCGGAGAAAAGTTGCACCAGCTGGGCCAGGCAATGTGGATACTGGCATTCGCGGCTCCAACGTTGCTGTCCCTTCTTGTAGGTTTGCTTGGAACCTTCGGCAGCGATCTCAGTGCTACGTGTGTGAGAGAGCTCGTGCCTGGCAGCACCACGAGCCAAGGATTTTGGCTTTCTGTGTTCACTCCTGTGCTGTTGCTGCTCTTGCTACTTGGCGAAGAGTTTCTGGTCGCCCTCGTGGAACCGTCTCGAAGCTCCTGATAGCCCAAAGGGTCTTCTTCACTCAATCGATGTTTAAAATGGTAGGGTTCATCGGATTTGGAACTGGGATTAGCTGTTTCAGTTCGCTACGTTTTCCTGTTGCTGGATGCCGAGATTCGCATTTCTCGGGTAGCCGTCTCAGGTCTCTAGCGGCTGAGCGGCTGATAGGCGAACTGGCATATGTTTTGCCCTGTAACCATGTGATCACTGTGTTGCTGGGGCTGCACTGGCTGAATCTCCAGCCGCCGTTTCGTGTAGACGGTTCGTGTGCAGGCCCTCTGATAGAAGCAAAGTGTCGAAATCTCAGCTAGCGTTTGCAAGGAATACCGTTGGAACAAACTCCGCGCCGATATTGGCAATCCAGTCAGGTGAATATACGGCCGAAACCAACTGGATGCTCGCACTTCTGTGGCAAGCCTGGCTTTGCTCAAGTTTCTGTTTTGTGCCGCATGGATGAGCTCGACTGATTCAGGTTCAGGATGTGCATCGAGCAGGTCCGGTTCAACAGCGCCCTTGCGGTTGGGGCCACAGCACGACATCCTTGAACACCAGACACCCTCGACCATGCGGAAGGTGTTGCTCCTCTCGCTCCTTGCTCAGAGGGGATTCGGCCCCTTCCTCCTTCACCTTGCCGGACACTGAGCACGCAGAGAGTGTTGCTTTACGAGTGCTTCCTGAACGCATCGAGGTGCAGAGCTTCCTCTTCGCCGTAGTGCTTCGACGGCCAAAGTGTGCGTGTACGCCCAGAGATGCATTCGCCCCGACCCCGAGTTGTCAGCGGGGCTTGTTTTGATATGACAGTAAGCCAAGAACTCATCGAGCGTTCCTGGCTTGGCCGACCAGAACGTTCTTCACACGTGGATTGGCACTTTCGAGTCTGTGTTCCACTGCTCCTGCTGCAAGCAGTGGCTATCTTCAACTCCGAGTTCATTCCTGATGTCAATGTGGTTTGTGGCATGCCTGAGGCCTCGGCTCCTCATGGTGCCTTCTGCCGCTACTTGTTTCATGCATCGCAGATCGTCTCGCACACAGGCAAAGGGCACACGGCAGTTTCTTCGGCAGCTCGTCCCTCCCAGCCAGGCTCCGGAGCCATCTGGCAGTACAGGCGCGGCGGTCGAGGCGAGGAGTGCAGAAAGCCGAGTCCGAGACCGAGGTCGGAAGCCGTGGTTCTGCCTTTGGAGATTGCCGCGTCCCCGTTTCCAGAAGTCTGCACGGATCAGCCTGTTCAGCGCTTGTTTGCAGGTGCTGTTTTTGACTCACATGTTCCAGCTGCTCCTCGTGGGGATGCCGGTCGGCATTTCGGCTTGTCCCCCGGGAAAGGTGCTGCGTCACTGAGCCGCTTAGCCTCGTGCTGACTCTGGGATTCTGTGGGCCGAGGCATCGTCCTGGTGGTTGGGGCTGGTGTTGCTGGTTTTGTTCTCGATGGCCAGAGAGGTTTTATCGCGAAGCTGGCTTGTTTGTGTGATGGGAGTCAGGGCGACGATTGTGAGACTTGTCAAGCTGCAGGGGTGTGCTTTCCATCTGGCGTCGGATGCTCTTCCCCCACATCCCTTGGCCTGCCGCTGAAAAGTGGATGTGGGATTTTAGATGGAATTCAAGCTACTTCCTGAGGTCAGCCCTTCCTGGCCATCTGATCGCCATTGTCGTCGGCGTCGCTATGGCCACCTCCACTTTCTCACAAGCCCAGCACCTGTCATGGACATGCTTGGAAGGATCTTCTGAAGGGTGGCCAAGCGACGCTGACCACTTCGCTTGCTGCAGGTGCATTTCTTCTGGTTCTTCTACGCCCACCACTGGGCTGTGTGCTACATCGGCACGGGGCTTAGGCTTAGAACGCGCGGGAGCTGTGCATAGCATGGGTGCTCCTGAAAGCAGACAGGGGGCCCTTCAAGCACCGGCATGGAGGTTCGGCGCTGTGCGCTGTGCGGCTTGGTGCGTCGTCTTGCAGGAAGCCCCAATCGAATCTTGAGGTGGTTGAGGACAAGGATGCCGTCGGAAGCATCATGACGGGCGTGATTGGCGTTGTGCTCCTTTTCGCCCATGTAGCTTGGCCAAAGCAATTTTTCGTTTTTGTGTTGTGAGGATGGCAGGGTTCTTGCTGACTTTTGATAAGCTGCTGGCAGTTCGCCTCGTCCAAGATCCCGGCATACCCCGGCAGATTTCCAATTTGCAGAGCTCGTGAGCTTCTTGAGGTGTACTCGTTCTGCCTGTGGTCGCTGTGGCTTGGGTCCTTCAGCTTAGATTAGAGCCATGATGCAATTGTGCTTGCGCTAAGAAGCACAGGGAAGCCCTATGTTTCGCAGCCCGAGGCGGTTGGAATGGGCCCGGCAGCCTTCGAAGGCTCGCCCTTGTACCAGGTTTCACTCTCCTTGTGTCCCGGAGTTTCTGTCAGTTACGCGGGCATCGCCAAGAGCCCAAGAGCCCCGGCCCAGGAACGGAGCAGGAACAAGCAAGAGCTGGCTCGGCTGCCCAGAGCACGGAGAAGACGCCTAGGACCTAGGATGAGAATGTCACACCGACGTCACATCTCCGATCCTTGATCCGTCATGGTTCGTGGAGTGTTCGTGGGACTTGGGCCTGTCGGCAGGTGCAGGCCTTCAGGCGGTCTGCGAGCCTTACCCTGGACGATCGGCAGCAGAAGAAGGCAATGCTGGTGCGGCACCAAGAAAGCAGAAGGGCGGAAAGGCTTTTTGAAAGGCTCGCGTGGTTGTGGAGAACTCTGAAGGCTGATGGTCAGAGTGACGTTGCTTGTAAACTGTCAAAAGAGCAAGTTAATGCTGTTCCTGATCTCGGCTCCAGCACAAGAGAGGCGGAAGCTGGGTTCAAAACCTACAACATGTAGATGACGTGTTCTTTGGGTGCTTCGCCGAATCTCTAGCAGGATTCCAAAGACCGACTGCATGACGGAGCGAGCGCGCGGTTGGAGCATTTAGGCCCAGCTATGGCTTTGCCTCTGACCCTCCCAAGCTTCACGGATCCAGCTGCTGGCGCCCGTCGGACGTTGGCAGCACAGGTGCGGTCTTTGCAGTGGAGTCCTACAAGATCCTACAAGTAGCTCACAAAATGGCCAACGGAACAACTTATCATTCTTTGTCTTCGCAGATCGTAACCAGTTCGCGATACGCAGCGAGGTATATGGTTACTGGTTGCTTGCGAATAGGCTGCTTCCTGTGAGTGACATGTGGCCTCGCCTAGATCTAGCCTCGTCCAGTCAATGTGAAGCGAGAGTCATATACTATGTGATCTAGGTGAATTGAGAAACACCTTCTGTTCCGAGGCCGTGCATCAGCGCGGGGTGGCAACCACTACACACAAGAAGAACTATAAGACTATGACATAATTAAGACGAAGAGGGGGAGAGCGAGAGGGTTTGTGGGGCCAGGGAGCAGCTCCCAGGCCGAAAGCAAGAGAGATAGAACGACGAAGAGGTGTGTACAACAGAAGGGCCGTGGGGGGGGGGGGGGGGCGCCTGCGTGAGAGGCTGCGAAGACAAAAAAGGTTTGTGCCGGTGTTTACAGCGGAGATAGCCGGAGTCTGAACTACTGCGGCCCCAAAGCGAGCTTCACACTTACTACAGCAAGGGCTGAGCCTATGCAGGTGACAGCTAACGCCCTTGCCCAACGGGAATGAGAGAGGGACGGGGGCCTGAAGTTCATGAGACCTCTTTCGAAGTCGTCCCGCGCGCACAAGAACCCCGGATGCGCGGAGATTCAGAGAGCGAAAATATCTCCACGCTTTGTCGAGGTTGAGCAGCTGAAGCAATGGGATGGCAGCCGCAGCTGGAGCGGAGGTGCACAACTTGGAAATACTCTGATCTACCCATGACATGATCAATCACGCATGCAGTCATGGAGTGCAAGGTCGACACGAAGAGAGCCGTGGAGAAGTCGTGGAGACTGTTCGTTCCATCCTCGACTGGGCTTCAAGCATTGACGGCTCCGACTTGGCTCCAGCCTTCCACGCTGTTCGAGACAAGCTGGACATCCGGGATGTTGTGGTTGTTGTGAGGGACTTCATCGGTAGCCTGCTGTATGTGGCAGTCGCTGCAGAGCACCAGCAATCCCAAAGCAAGCAGAGTGGAAATGCCAAGCGACAGCTTTCCGAGTTGCTGTGCGAGCTCTGTGGCTTGCGCGAGCAATCTGCACACTCCGGTGCTACACACTCTCGAGCGGGGCTCGCTGAACCTTGTAAATGCTGCACTTGTTGCCACATTGCCATTCAAGAAGCTTTGAGCCTCCTGCGCTTCGTTCACCACTTCATGACAACATCTTGTGCAGATGAATCCTCCGAGAGGCACCTTCCAAGGTGCTCTTTCTTTAAACACTCCTTGATAGGCAGGGTTGTCGGTTGGTCCAGGATGGTCCAGGCGTGTTTGTTTGCACAGTTCCGTGATGTTCCATGCTGCAGGCACATGGAAGATGGTGTTCTCGAGCTGCTTCATCTCGTTACCACTCTGAGCTCTGCTCTTCACGAAGACTGCTTCCTTGTAGCCCAGCGCAGTGATCATCTACAATGGTGGCCGCGGTACGAGCAGCTCCTTGACGGCAGCTCACCTCAGTGCTTGGGGCTTCTGAACATGTCTGCTGCACGCCTGGCACTAAGGTTGAGACGTCACTGTCCCGTGGCATCATGGCCTCTGACGGCATGGGCGTCCTTCCAACAGCTCTGGCTCGACGCGGAGCAGGCAGCTTTCAAGCTGCAGAAGAGGGTGGCCTTATTCCGCATGCAGATGGCGCAGGGACGCCAGGGCCGGGGTGGCCAGAGAGCAAGACACGCTCGGCCGTCTGCCGGTTTTGTCAGTTTTCCTCCTCGGCTTCCGAAGGTGGAGCTGACAGGCAGCTAAGGCAGGAGTTTGTGCATTCGCATGAAGAATGTATTCTACTTTGTAATGCTCCTGTAGAATCAGCGTTGCCATGCGCTTCCATTGCCACGCATGGAATTCGGTTTGGTAGTCGAGACTCTCGCGGTTGACCGAGCTCACTACAAGCCAACCCTGGCCCTGGCTCTTCTCTACAGGGCTTTTGTCAGATCAGGAAGTTGCCATGAGAAAGAGCTCGGCGAACACTGGAGGTCAACCGCACATCGATGCAGTCATGGGACTCTTATAGTTAGCCTTTGCGCAGTGACATGCCGGAACCAGGCAAAGTGGCAAAGCATGTGAGAAGAACGCCAGAGTCAGTCAAGCACAAACTTGTAGGATCTTGTAGGCATACTCATACTGTCTACATGGAGAAAGATGCACAAGAGATGTTGAGCTCGGACTGAGGTGCGGGTGAATTCCATGACTATATCAGGCGCCGGTGCAGGGCTTCGATTCGGAATTCGCCTCTGTGGCGCTCCTTCCTTTCACAAGCCATGCTAGAGCCTGGGCCGACTTATCTTTGATGTGCATCACTGTCTGTGCTTCTTCGTGTGCTTTCTTGCTTCCTGCCCTTTCGCATCGTCACCACGAGCTTGAGATTCTTTCCAGGTCTAGCCGCCAGCTACAGTTGGGTGCCTACGTTGCGACGGATTGCTTTGAGTCGCTACAGCTACACAATAGTGGCATCGCGATTGATGTAGCGTCAGTCGTATGGAGTGGCATTTGGGTGTCGAATCAGGGGCGGTGAGTAGTGCAGACCATGATATCTGCTGCTGGTACCTCCGTCGTTGCCCTGTGAACCACCACACGGCTAATGCCCATGTGCAAGAAGAATCGTCTCACGACTCCGAAGCGTAGCTTCAGCTGCAGGTGAGATCCCCGACGACGAGGAGGAGACAGAGAAGGACGAGGCGCGCAATGCCTGAAGTGTTTCGGAGCTTCATCGCGAATCGGTGCAAATTGATCGGAATCAGAAGTTCTTCTGAAAAGGCTTTTGAAGAGAAGCGTTTGGGAAGCGCCTGGGCTCGGCTCCCAGGATGCGCCCGGTTTTTACGTGGGATGGGAAAGTCTGGAATGGAGGAACGTACCCTGACCTATCTCTGGGAAGAGAGGGACGGCGTCGCCGCCTTGGCGTGGAGGCTGCTCGAGCAAACTGGTTCGTGCCTCGTCCACCATAAGGATTCGCCGAGCAGCCTTCCAGGAGTTCCCCAAGACGAAGGCACCACGCAAGAAGGAGGCGGCAAGAAATCTGCAAACCGTGAGTCTGTCCAAAAGTCGCCAGATACTTCAGCATAAAAAATCGCGGCTCAGGGCCTGTAAGAAAGACTTCATCCACAGACGCCACTGCCCGTCACTCAGGGAGAGTGTATCACCAACGCGGGGGCTCCAAAAGAGAGTGGAGTGCACATGTGAATGCCACAGGTCGGTGTAGAAAGCCATCGCCCTACACTGTTGCTCGAGGACTGGCGCAGCTGCAAGTCGTAGTTACTCAGACCTGGTGTTGGTGTGCTCGCATGACAGATCCTTTGTTCTTCAGCTGACAGGTGCCCGTATCGGAGACTGCTGCCCAAGAAGAGCCGTCGCCTTTTTGATCCTGGCTTCTTCGTTTCGGAGGGCCGCTGTGGGCATATGTTCCGAGGGTGCACGAGCTTGCTCTGACTCCCGACTCTGAGCACGTCAAGGGCTCGGCTGTTGCCCGATCGTCCTGCGCCGAACTCCAGCTCAAGAACCGATCAGTGGCTTGGAGGCCAAGCTCTTGAACCAGGTTTTGAAGGAGGCGTGAAGCCTGCTGGTGGGGTGGTGGTCTTTCCTGTGCTCTCTGGCAGGTCCAGTCCATCCAGCCCGACCTGCCTGATCACATGGAGGTTCCAGAGGACCCAAGCGGCAAGGGAAAAGGCTTCGGGACGGCTCTTCTCGTGTCCGCTTTTTGCAGGTTGGCCTCCAGTGCGTGGAGTCGGAGCAGAGCCAGGTGCTTTCGGGGGAGAGCGGGAATCACAGGACTTGTCGTCAAGGTTCCGCGAGACCTGCTGTCAGTGTCCCTGCATGTGTTTGGTCACCTTTTGGAAGATCTTCATGCTTCAACCCTAGCATGCTGAATTTGGTGGATCACGATGGAACTCGGTAGTCTTCAAAACAGCGGTTCTGATTCGGTGGGTCCACTGGGACAGGTTTGGTATTGCTGGATGTGGATAGGTGAATTCTGTCTTGAGTTCCCTGTGCTTCATGAGCTTTGTGGTACTCGTAGAGAGTTGCAGCAGACCCCCTGCAGGCGATGTCATGGACTCTCAACGGCACCGAGGTGCAAGCGCTTCTCGGGGACACGAGCACTGAGGCGGGGCTTGTCTGTTGCAGTCCGGCTTGAGATTCGATCCCAAGTGATTTAGTGTCCTGACTCTCTACGCTGCAAGTATAAGCCTGAAGTCTTCCTTTTTATGAGGATCTACGTGCAGCCGGCGTCGGCGAGGTGGGTCGAAGCAGTGCACTCCGGGATATTGGGCCCCCATGTGCTTGGATCCAGGAGGCCAAGAGCCCTCAGGCGCTGAGCGGATCTCGTACTCAGGACTTGGCACGGGAACGCAACTCAACATGGCAGCCGCAGGTACTCGCACTATACTGCTAGCAGTTCTGCATCTGTTGCAAAACACTGTGGAAGTGAATGTGAAGAAGAGTGCTTGGTGAGGGTGGTTTCGCTGGTTTTTACACCGGTGCTGCCCAGCCGCTTATTCCAGCATGGGTGCAGGACGACCTTGAGAGGCACTTGAAGGAGAGTGCGGCCAGGGGGGCACTTCTGCAATAAACCGACTGCAACAGCTTCAGCGCGATGTGTGTTGCTCCCTGCCGAAGGATCTCATGGCCGGGGCAGACGTCGCGCAGGCAGACCGCTGCACCACTTGGACACCGCTGGCAACCCTTTTAAGGAAGAGGCTTCCGCTTCACACTTCCGTGCTTGCCAGGTGGTGACGAAGCTAGCGGAGCCCACGCCAATGGAGGTTCGCTTCAAGGTTTCTGTGTCAGTGCTGCTGCAATGCTACTACCTCATACATACCGCGTCCACAAGGAGCAAGAGGAGGAACGAGCGCTGCTACCTCAGTGTGCAGTTGCAAGACTCGGAGCCCTGGATTTTGGCACAGCACGGGGGATCACGGGGGTGGACTGGCGACCTGGGACGCGGCACCGGCTCAGACCAGGGCTGTCCCAGTCATTCCTTCCCTGGTCCTCCCTTCTGATCAACCGCAGAAAGCGATGTTTAGACTCTTGTCGATATGCGCAGGTGCCTATGCACTGAGTGCTGAGGATTCTCTTGCAAGGGACGACGAGTGCTCGGATGCCTCTTGCTCTGTGAATGCGCTTCAGAGCAAAGTTAGCCTGCGTTCGGAGCAGAGCTGCAAAAATGCAGCGCCGGGTGACGTCTGCTACAAGAACATCATGTGGGCAAAACACACCGGCATCCGCCAGCATCCAAGCTGGTATCCAGGGCTGACTGCCTCTTCTAGCAATGCCGCCTTCCAGGAGATCGTCCATTCGCATTCGCCCGACAAGTGTGCCTTGCCATGTGCAAACACAGCGGGATGCCACACAGCTGTGAAGGGCGAATCGTGCTACAACGACATCATGTGGGCAAAGCACACGGGCATCCGCCAGCACTCGCATTGGTATCCTGGCCTTTCGCCATCCTCCTCGGATGCGGAATTCCAAGCCAGCATCCACGAAAAGCGCCCTGACAAATGCCCAGAGCCTTGCATGGCGCCAGCAGCTGAGGTGCCAGCTGAACCTGAGGTATCCGAGCCTGCGGCACCAGCCCCTGAAGCTGAGAAGCCAGCACCTGCCGAAGAGCCCATCATCCCGCCGCAGACTCCAAGTCTCGTGCCCCCACCCAAGATCGAGGAACCCGAGGAGGAACCCGAGGAGGAGACTCCCGAGGAGCCCATTCCTGGGATCATTCCGATGCCAGAGGATTTGAAGCCAGGGAACGAACCTGAAATCATCCCGGTGACGGAGCAGCCTGCTTCGCAGCCATCCCCTCCACCACGACATGAGTCGCACCCGGAGCCAGAGCCAGACATCAACCGCTACCCACAGTGCCCTCGCGAGCCTCAGTCCGCCCGGGAGGCCTGCGAGCAGCAGGCGATCCAGCAGGAACAGAGGGAGCGGGAGGAGCGAGAACGCCAAGAGCGCGAAGAGGAGAAGGAGCACGAGCGCAACACGCCGCTGGATGTGAGGCATCAGGAGATCATCGACGAGATCGGGGGCGAGCCATCAGTAGGTGGAATTCCAGAGTTTGACGATCCAGATCGCTGAGCTCGTGACAGCTCAAACACAACATCCCACAGTGTTCTCAACAACTGTTGACACCGGGCTTGCCAATAGTTTAAAGTGAATTTGCTCTGTAGGTTCAATCTGTACTGTGACTTGACTTGACATGCTGATTGACAAAAGATGTCGCAGGGGGCTATGCAGAGCACCATGCCTTGCGATCCCACATGCTGCAGTTGCGAGCATGGCTGCTAGTTCCCACGAGCATCCGCCCAGGCGACGCGAGGAGGAAGAGCGCGACTCCCTCAGTTAGCGGATTGAAGACCTTGGCGATCATCGGACGTTTGTGCTGACGAGGCCGAGCGGAGGCCGAGAGGGCCGAAACTGAGCGCCGTCGGACGCTGAGGTCTTCTGTCTTCCGCCACTGACACAGTCTGGTCTTGGCGTGACTTTAGGCCAGGAAGAGGAGCGACTGGAAGAAGAGAGGCCTGAATGACTGCAGCTCAAACAGAGGCCTCTTGAGTGCTGTGCAGAGCTGCGGGAGGCTCGCCAAAGAAGCGGCTGATCGGGCGGAGCGTGAGGCGCGCGCCCGCGAGGTGGAGGAGGCGGCCGAGCGAGAGCGCCTGGAGCGCCTGGAGCGGGAGAAGGCCGAGGCCGCGGCGGCTGCGGCGGCTGCGGCTGCGGCGGCTGCGGAGCGCGAAGTCGCAGAGGAAGCCCGGCGGGAGGCGGAGCGAGCGCGGGCGGAGCGCGAAGCGCAGGAGGCGGCGGCGCGCGAGGCGGAGCGACGGAAGCTGGCTATGGAGGTGGGGAGCCCGGGGCGATGGCATGCGATGGCTGTCAATGTACTTTTCTCTCTGCAGAGCTCCCTGCTGTGAACTAAGCGGCTAAGCGCAAATCCGCGCGCTTCCAGGCATTGTGTGAAGCGATGGCGAGCCGAAGCAAGGAGCAGATCGAGATCTGCCTGCAGACAGCGGAGGTCGGAGTCCGGCATGTGGTTAGATTGATTGCCACTGCTTGAATCTGACCGAACCACTGAAGGAAGATGGGATCCCGGAGAAGGACGTACAAGCTGCAAGGGAGCTTTCGGCTCGCTGGTCGCGGTCGCTGTTTTGTCAGGAGGCGGAGGCTGCTGTGCGGGTGCTTCACCAGATCGCCGAGATGGAGGCCAGAGCCGGGTTGAAGTCGTGTTCAACAGCACCTCACTCTGCGATGCGCTGCTAGTGCAAGCCATGTGCAGCGGACATGTGCCTCGTGAGCGGCTCCCGTTGAAGTGAGGCGATCCGCGCTGCTGAGTGCGGAGCTCATGTAACTCTTCGACGAGCTGCCAGTTGCTAATGCTGCTAATTGGCAAAGGCTTCTTGCTGCAGCGATGCTTCGAAAACCCCGTGATCCCATACCCATTGTAAACTTCAGACATAGTGCAGGATCGGATCCGAGGCATCGCCTGCGGGGAGCCTGTGGCGACGGGGATCCCGAGGCCGGGCACCTCGATACAATGCTGGATCTTTGCATTGTGTTGTGGATCGAGACCTTGCAACATGCCGACACCCGAAAACTGAGTAACATCACGAATTTCGCTGTTTGACGCCGTTTCCAAATGCAGCTTCGAACTGCTTGCTGTCCGAGATGTTTCACAGTTTCATGGCCTGTTGTTAGCTGTTGCTGTACATAGGCTGCACGTGATTACACTATGGAGCTCAAGATTTTTGCGATCTCGAGGAGATTGTCCGTGCCATCGCCCACGCGACAGAGGCCTGACCTCGGCACTGTTTCGTGATCTCCATGTGCTGAAGAGGGTGGTCTGCTTGGGGAAAACGGGTGTGGGAGTGCTGGCCAATCGTCCCGCACTGCACACTTGAGGTGGGTGTGGGGCGAGACACCATAGGCAGGCTGCTTGCCGAGCCGGTGTCGCAACATGCCACCACTTAGCAAGCTTTGCAAGACATTTTGTGCTCGGAGCCAACATGTCGGCAGATGCGGCCAACGAGACACTGTCCAAGATCCGAGAAGAGATCCAGACGCGGGAAGCAGCCACGAAAAGGCTTTGGAAGCTTTGGCTTTTGCCTGTGGGGAAGTTTTCATTTTGTTGTTACTGGGCGCCAAAATGTTTCGCTACACTTCCGGGTCCAGGTTGAGGGAAACCAGGATTCGCTCATGTTTCGGCTGCCATCCGCATTCGTGACTCTCTTGGCATTTTGTGGTTGCCATGCTATGCAAGGCTCCGCGGGATCCTGCTGAAGCCGTGGCCAAACCCTGAAAGCGGCGAAACTCTGGAGGCAGCGCTTGCGTCGTGGATTAGATAGCGATTGGAGAGGAGACCCTGGACATTCCCACTGCCGCTTGCGCGGCAGGTATATAATCATATAGTGTGTACAAGAGGATGCAAGTCGCAGCTCTCGAGCATTCCTTCTCTGCGAGATCAGCTCCTGAGCAGGAGCGCATCTCCAGCCTTTCCGAGGCAATCTCGCTGCGGCCTTGGCACTGCATGTATATGCTCACCTCAGTGTACTCGACTGGAGCGTGCGGCACCAGTCGAGAAATGTTTGATACGGCATTAAAGGCTCTTGGCTTTTAAATGTGTGCTGCCTGCCAGGACTGGCAAGGCCTGCCGGGTTCCTCAGGCGGACCTTCAGGCTCATCCTGGGGTCTGAAGACCACACACGGCATGTGTCAGGGTATCCTTGCTTGCGTCTGTTGGCTCACTTCCCTCTTTAGTTTCCGCTGTCTCTGCTTCTCTGTCTCGGCCAGGCAGCAGCAGAGTCTCTTCAAGTTCTCGAAGGCCAAGAAAAAAATGCAGTCGGAGTGCAGGACCCCGTCTACGAGTCTACGACGAGTCTACGGCCATCTGCGGCCAGGCCTTCGCCGTCGGGAGCTCGCCACAGAGGCCTTGATGCAGGCCCTGGAGTCTCAGGACCTCCAGGCCGGCGAGTCCCGCGCTTCACTCTTTTTCACGTCTTCGGAGTGTTCCAAGAGGCCGCCAAGAAGGCCTACAGCCATGCGAAGGAGTGTGGCCTTTCTGTGGAGGCCACGTTTGGAGTGCGCTCAAGGAGGACTTTATTACAGTCTCAAGTCACGAGGAGCTTGTCTCGTTCGAGCACCTGCTGCGAGACTTGTCTGACGCCTTGGAGCTTGCTGGCGACAAGGCGCAGAAGCGGAGGTTCAAGGTTTGAGTGAGATCTGATGGAGCTCAACATCTTGCACACAGGTTTGTTTAATTGAGAGAGCTGTGAAAGTCGTCAGGAACGGCTGATGGAGCGGCGTGTTGCCGCGGCAGTGGAGGCGAAGAGCCAGGCACAAACCCCGCAGAAAGGGCTGGCATAATTCCACCACTGTCGACTTCTTGAAGTGGGCATGTTCAAGCAGTGTACCTGGTAGTTGCCCTGCACACCAGTTTCTGTACCTGGGCACAAAGCGTTGTATGATCTGCGTTAAGATTGCAGTATCGTATGGAGCCGGTGTCTTGTGCTCTCTCCAGCTGTGCTTCTTTGCCTTTGAATCTTTTAATTTGAGTCAGCGAGCATGCCTTCTTTGACTGAGAAGCTACAAGCCTGAACGAGGCAGAACGCATGGAATCCTCGGCTGAAGTAGAGAAGATGCTTGGCGAAGGCCAGCCGTGGTAGAGACCCTCTTGGTCCGTTTCAGATTCCCATTATGGCAACCTGCAGGCGGCGTCATTGTGGTGCTCAAGGATGCCATCCAAGAAGCAAAAAAAGCGCCAGTAGTCCCAGAGAGCTGAAGTGAAAAAGCGTGTGCCTCCGCCTCTTCTCCCGGTGGCCATGGCCCAGGCGGCTCGTGAGCAAGGGCGCCATCGCCAGAGCGGAGGCAGAACCCGCCTTGGACCCTTGGACCTTGCTCAGCAGCGTTCCCTTCCCGACAAGTCAGCCTCCGAGAGCCGGCGCCTCTAAAAACCGTCCGCTGGATTGCAGGCTGTTGTCCCGGAGACGATCGCAGATCTCAAGCGTCAGCCTGCTTGGATGTTGTGTGGATTCATCGATTTTTCGAGAACGCCAGGAAGGGTCCTGCTCAGCGAAAATTCCGCTTGTGTCAGAATCGTAGTCGCGACAGGCATCATTGCTGACAAGCAGCTGAACGAGAAGCGTGCTGGCCTCTGATACATGGCCAATATCCCTAGGCCCAAATCTTCCAGCTAACCAGCGTGCTCGGAGCAAGTCAAGAGCGTTAGATGTGGGGGTGCTTAGGGCGGAGACGATGTCAGTCTGATTCGCGAGTTTCCAAGGTTGAGCGCGGATGGCCCGGCACAGGTGTGGCAGAGCAGCGTCTGCGTGGTGAGGTGGAGTCTCCCGGCATCGCAAGAACCAGCAGGCAGTCCAGCAGTCCACCGAAGAGCCACTGAGCCAAGGCTGGTGCAAGAAGCTGGGCCCGGACCTGTTGAGCTCACAGAGTTCTTCACGTCGTGTGCCCATGACACACGTTCCGAGGATCCTCCATGTTGGCGTGTTGGAGGGCTTGCGCAATGCCATTGCAGATGCTACCCGCTTCAGCGCTGACGTACAGGGCTCAGCTCCGCTGACGGCCATCTCCGCAACCTCGCGACTTGAACACTCCGTTTCGGGCTTCGGGTTCCGGTGAGTGAGCCAGATGAGCCGTGGGGCCGTGACTCACGCGCTGCTCGCGCTACATGCGCCACACGGTGTGTGTGCAGCGAGTGGAACGAGTGGAACGGTTGGAGCGAGTGGAATGAGTTGAGCGAGTGGAACTGACCGACTAGCGGCCCACAACGCCGACACTCTCACAAGGCGACTCAAGCATTCAACCAAGACCTTTGAGCTATGGGACTCGCTGACCGAGGTCAGGGATGCGGAGCAGGTCTTGGCACAACTGACGAGAGACCTCGAGCCACCTGCTCAGGGGACACGGGAGTCTGCTGAAGGTCAAGAAAGTTCTGGTCTTTCGAGTCATCCTTCGCGGATATACCGGCAACTGAGTCCTTGCTAGAAGCGCTTCGGGCAATGCATCTGCTAGGTCACAGGCTTTCAGCAACAGCGCGAAATCCAGAAGTGCTACTGGCATACCATGCTATGCACATCTTCTAAGTCCCAGACCTTTCTCATGTTCGCGGCTCACTTTCCGGGTCGACGCAGGAAGATGACGCTGGAGGCCAAAGGCGCGCTTTCCCAGGCGGGGAGTTTGCTACGCTTTTGCCCAGGTTTCTGGGACTGAGGGACTGAGGGGCAGCCCTGTGAGGCTTTCGAGTCTCGCAGCCCCGTGGAGATCCGGAAAGGTGAACCTCTCAGGCGGCTGGGAGTCTGCAGAGCGGTCGCCTTCTTCCCCGAGGCATCTCGGCCTGCCGGCAGCTTTTGCTGAACGAGGAGAGAACCCTCTGCTCAAGACTTAAGCTCTTGTGATTTGGTGTGTTTGCATACAGCGGCTTTTAGCAGCGCTGGTACCTGGAAGGAGCATGCCGGTGCCATGGTGCAGCTTCGTAGCATCACTGAAGAGGCGAAGTGAGTTTGCATCTGTCACGCCCAACGCAACTTACAATCGGCTTTTCTTGGTTTTCAGGATATCGCCTCGGCTCGCAGCGAGCACGACCGAGAGTCCCGTATGGCCCGGGTTGCCCTCCTGGATCCGTCCTCAGCCGGGCTGCCGGGCTTCGGCTTGGGCTGATCGCCACACTTTTCCGTGAGTCTCATGGAGTCTCGCCTGATGGGCACCCGAGGAGCAATTCGTGGGAATTCTCCGGGAGAACGGTGACAAGCAGTTGCGGGGATTCCACAACGCCGCGCCCGCTCGTCTACCGTGCTTCACTGTGTGGTGGCGACAGACCGCCGCCTTGCGCCAGGACCTTCAGGACTTGAAGGGCGCACTCCGTGTCTTTTGCAGGGTCAGGCCGGATCCGGCTGTTCACATCAACTGGGTGCAGAAGTTTCGCATGTCGTACGAGGCCCTTGAATGGGCGAGAGATCAAGAAGAATGACACGATCGCTGTGGAGGCTTCCGGCTGCCCTGCTCGTCGCGAGTTGGAAAGGCTTCAACGATATTTCTGATGGTTAAGCTGCTTCAGATCCTGGACTCATTCACTGTTGCCGTAAACAAATCCGAGACCGACAAGCAGGCCGGTTCCGATGTTGTAAAGCTGTCCATTCGAAGTGGTATTGCGGCTGCTCTACGATGCTCTGTGCTCCTTACCAAGTTTCTTGACGCACTGGCTCCCGGCTAGGTCTTCGCGTACGATGCCATCTTCGGTCAAGGCATGGTCTTGATTGCAAGCAACGAAAACTGACGTGCGACGGTGCAGAGCCCAAGGTAGCTCCCAGGCCGATGTTTTCGTGGAGTGCAAGGGCTTGGCGCTGCACCCAGTCAGACGGTAATCACAGAGATCAGAATTTTGGCCTTGTCTGTGGCCTATGCAAGAAGCAAGTTGCTGAGGTGCAGAGCATGATCGACGGATACAATGTGACGGTTTTCACGTGCCCTTCCTGCGGCCTTCAACACTGAGCTGCATCGTGGGTTTCCAACATTGACGTGGCTTCACGTCCCTGTGGTGCAGATTCGTGTGCTGTGCCATATCTCCGTGTGAAGGTATGGCCAAACTGGAGCTGGAAAGACATGGACGCTGCGGTTCTCTCAGTTTCTACCAATCCCGTGCAGCTGGCAATTTCGCCTGTGGCAACACTTCGGCAATGGTCCACCCCGTTTGCAGCAAAGCCATCTATTTGACGACGCACCCGCCAGTTCGGAACTAGATTCAGGGGGTACTGCAGCTGAGGTACGGCTCCGGTGCAGAGCCTGGTCTCTCGCCTCGACTATGCGAGGAGGGCTTGAACTGGGTGTGAAGTGCTTTCAGCAGTTCGTGCTGGCTAATGGTTAGGTTTCAGCACAGGCGGAGTATGTACCCAGCAGCTGCTCGTTGCCTCTCGGTTGAAGCTGGGGGGCAGCGCAGGAAGTGTTCCGCGTGGTTCACAGAGACCGAGAGAAGCAGCGGGCCGAGCCCAGTCGCAGGGTGTCTGGGTCGTCTGCGACGGCTGACGGGCTCGGCTCGGCTAAGCGCTTGACTCCAGGTTCGACTTCGAAGTGCGGGCCTCCATGATCGAGCTTTACCTCTCTGTCAAGAACTCAGACCACGGTATGCCGGATGCACGGTATGATCCGCACCAGAAGAAAAGAGAGCCACGATCAGGACCTGCGCGACTTACTCTCCAAAAACAGGGACATATCCCCCCCACTACCTCCACACAGACCCAGATGCACCCACCAAACGGGGAACCTGGTACCGAAGAGAGATCGGTCGGAAAGTGCGGACCTGCGTGTGTCCTGCTTGTGCTGTCTATTGTTGGGGCTGTTCAGCCCCTTTAATGCCAAGCACCTCCCGACCTCGACTCCTTCGGTGGATCAGCAGTTTGTGTTGGTGTAGTGCATGGAACATGCAGGAGCCACCCAAGCTGGAGTTGAAGAGCTACAAGCAGGCTTTGCGTTGATCTTTGGGCAGGGTGGGAGTGCACAAAGGCCTTCAGGATTTCGAGGTATGTTGCGGCAGGTTGTCCGTCAGAAGTCACGAAAGCTAGCCCCCGTGGAGCTAGCGGAGTATCTTACTTAAGCGAAGCTGACAACCAGATAGGTATATAGGGCACCCAGAGGCTCCGCCACGAAAAGCAGCAAACCCCGTCTAGTTGCGGGACCGAATCGCATTTTTTTGGGAAACGAGTTGGCGTTCATTTCTTTTGTATTGTGGTGCAACTGAACACCGCTTTTTGGGTCCTCCACAAATTCTAGGCGGGTCCCAGGGTGGGCCTGCTACAGGGGTCTGCGGCTACTAATCGCAGAATGTCACTAGACGATGTGTATTTCCACCACAGTAAGAGGGGTTAGGGTTCAAGGTTGAGGGGACTCCTTTGCAGCGTGCCGGCTCCTCATCTGGATGCACGTTACCTGGTCGACAGCATCGTGCTTGCTCAGCCGCATGCCTTCGGTCCTGGGAAGTACCCCTCCGTCAGGGTACCTTAACTAGCTTTCGTCCCAGGCCCTCACCCCCAAGTCGCTTTTGCCGAACTGACACGCATGCAGGCAGATGGCACCGCCGCCCGTCTGCACTGTGCGAGAGAATGGACTGGAAGCAGATGAACTCATGTCATGCTCTTCATATCTTTATGTCCTTTCCAAGTCTGGGTTGATGTGCAAACACGATTTCTGTTCACCCACTCTTGAACCCCATGAAGTGCTGCGTAATTGCCGTATGCACAACAACTGAACGATTACTCGCAAAGCGGCTGCCATTCCAATGCACTCTCACCGCAGAATTGATCGCTCCAAAGAAGAACCCCGCAAGCCGTTTCTCCAGAAGCCTGCAGGACTGAAGCGAAGACCAGCGTTCCCTCGCCGTCCAAGCACTGGTAGACTATAGATCCAGGTCGGTCAGCGGCTCGAAGGTGTCACGGAGACGCTGGTGCGCTCATCCGGCGATCTCGTCAAGGCAAGTCAGGGATTTGAACGCTTATGGCCGGTAGACTCTGTCATGCATTGAAGTCGATTCTCTGGCTGACGTTGTGCACGTTGGAATGGGGCTTCAGGCCTCTTTCCATTGACGTAGCGTTCCGCATCTGATCACGATGGTGAAGGTCAGATCCTACCGAAATACCTCAGCGTGTCAATGTAAGTGCCCCGACCTGACGAATACAAGCATGATTCAGCTGACAATACTACACAGCAGAAGCTGACGCTTATGAGAGCAATTTCGTGCTATTTAATGACAATGCCGCTGCTGCTGCTGCTGCTGCTGCTGCTGCGACAATAACAACAGCAACCACTAATCCTTCAGTTCCCACTGTAAGCGAAGAAGACGCCCAATGGATCACATGAGCCTCAACAATACAGGGCTCTATATCCTATACCTCAGGACTTAAAGCTTGTATGGGATGTGAACCACATGCTCTTTGAGGCTTCTTTAAGCTCTTACATTAGTCACTAGTCGTGGCACCACTAGCGAAAAGGTGGTGGCGGTGATGGCGGTGGTGGTAGTAATGATCATAATGGGAGGAGGAGTAGTGTAGCAGTAGTAGTGGTAGTCGTAGTCGTCGTAGGAGTCGT